CTATTAAACTGTCAGGTAATGGGGCTGTAAACAAAATATCATAATTACTATGTAATTCCACAACATATGTGATTGCTACCATGTCTTGGTTCTATTCAGTGAAAATTTCTCAACAATCACCATAGTGCATTTTTTCTAATCAATAGCTGATGTAGCCATTAAAAATCATAGAATGTTGGAGCTGGAATGGATTTAGAGGTCACCATACTGAGGTTTGCCTTATATGACAGATGAGGAAACTGAAGCTCAGAGAATGAAGTAGTTTACCCAAGGTCATATGGTAAGTTAGTGGACAAAGGACTAAAACTCAAGTATTCTGAGCCTGAGTGCAGTGTTCTTTTCAATATACCATAATGCCCACCCCACTCTCTAGAACTGATTTCTTACCCCTCAAACATATTGCATAAGGGAACAAATTTGAAAGGGAAGATAGATCCATGGTTTCCTACAAGACTGATGTCATAATCTTGTCATTTCTACCCCCACAATATTTCTTCCATTGTCTCTCCATGCACTGCTACTTCCCTAGTTCAGGCCCTCTCTATCTAGTCACTCTATCCTAGTATTTACCTTGCATTTATTTTGTTGTTATTGTTGTTGTTTGTCTTTTGTTCTCAAAGAGGACCATGACATCAGGGACAAGATGCCATGACATGCAAGTGAAATGGATTTAAGTGAGAGAGGGCTGTGCAAAGTCACCAGCCTCACTTTCTCCTCCAGAGCCACCTGCGTCCAGTGGCAAGATATAGATCAGAATGACTGGAGATGGCCCTTTATTTTTGTCTATGTCTTGTAGAGGGGCAATGTGGCATGGAATACAGGCATACCTCAGAGATGTTGTGGGTTCAGTTCCAGACCTCAACAATAAAGCAAATATCACAAGAAAGCAAGTCACAAGAATTTTTTGGCTTCCAGTGTATATAAAAGTTAATGTTTACACTATACTGTAGTCTATTAAGTGTGCGATAGTATTATATCTAAAAAACAACGCACATAACTTTGTTAAAAATACAGTACTGCTTAAAAATGCTAACCATCATCTGAGCCATTAGCTAATTATAATCTTTTTGCTGGTAGAGGGTCTTACCTTGTTGATGGCTGCTGACTGATCTGGGTGTCAGTTGTTGAAGGTTTTGGTGGCTGTGGTAATTTCTTAAAATAGGACAACAATGAAGTATGCCACATTGATTGGCTCTTCCTTTCACTCAAACACTTAGAAGCCATTGCAGAGTTATTAATTGGCTTAATTTCAACATTGTTGTGTCTCAGGGAATAGGGAGACCTGAGGAGCCAGTCAGTGGAGCAGTCAGAAGACACAATATTTTTGAGTTAAGTTTGCCATCTTATATGCATGTGGTTCATGGTACCCCAAAATAATTACAATAATAACATCAAAGATCACTGATCACAGATCATCATAACTGATGTAATCATAATGAAAAAGTTTGAAATATTGCAAAAATTACAAAAATGTGACACAGAGACATGATGTGAACGCATGCTGTTGGGAAAATGGCACTTATGAACTTGCTCAACACAGGGTTTCCAAAAACCTTCAATCTGTAAAAACAAACAAATGAACAAACAAAAGCACCTAAATATCTATGAATTGCAATAAAACAAAATGCAATAAAACTATGTATGCCTGTATAAAGTATATACTTGAAACCAGGAAGACTAGGATTCCTGTCCTACAATAGACATATTCTAGCTATGTGACCTTGGGCAAACTTTTAAATTCTCAATGTTCTAGGCATCTCTCTATGACTACAAATTGTGCAAAAATTGGCAACCTGAATCAGTAGGGGGAATTCCCTCACCTGGGAGTTCCCTATACCAAAAAAAAGAAAAAAACAAACAGGTTCTCTTCCTATTTTTTTAATTTTGTATATACTTATTTAGATACATGGTCTCCCTTCAAAGAACACAAGTTCCCAAAAATGTTTTCATTTTTACCTTTGTATCTCCAGCACAGTACCTGGCCCATTAATTGGCTTGTTGGTTGGTTATTCATGCAAAAAGTGACAAAGGAGCCATTTTTAGTTTAGTTTAGCTGAACAATGGTAAAAAAAAAAATTTTTCATGAAAACCTGTACCACTGATCTACCAGTTTTCACCTCCTTATGACTATCTGTTTCCATTTCAATCTTCTGAAAATTTTTGAATGCTAGAAAACTGAGTTCCCCAGGAATTTATACCTACAGAGTTCCTGATAGGCCTTTGCCAATGGATCCACCAAGTTGGTTAAGCCATGTCCCTTGTTTGTGAGCAAAGAAGGCTCTGCTTGCCCTTTTCCCTTAACTCCTTAAAATAGAAAACCACCACACCCATTCACCTTCACTTCATTTACAAGTGAGTAAATGAATGAAGGGCAGCTAGGTGGCTCAGTGGATAGAAATCTGGACCTGTAATCAGGAAGACTCATCTTCCTAAACTCAAATCTGGCCTCAGACACTTCAAGCTGTGTGACCTTGGGCAAGTCATTTAACCCTGCTTGCCTCAGTTTCCTCATCTGTAAAATGAGCTGGAGAAGGAAATAGCAAACCACTCCATTATCTTTGCCAAGAAAACCCCAAATAGGGTCACAAGACATCAGACACAACTGAAAACAACTGAACAACAACAACAAATGAATGAAAGCTGCATATAACAAAACCGTTACTAGTAATGTTGGCCCCTAGGGAAAGAATACAAAATCACCTTAAGTATCAGTAAATGCTCCCTCAAATCATTCAGAAGAGGGAAACTGCTGGACATTGGAATTCTACTACTGTGCAAGCCACTTCCTGGGGAAAAGCAAGAAAGAGTTAGACCAGAGAAGAGTTTTTCTGGCATATAGCCACAGCCCATGAGTAGGGAGGAAGTAAGAAGGGGAAAGGAGAGGAAGGAATAGAAGTAATGATACAATCTATTGCCTTCCTAGTTTAATTATTGGTTCTTAATAATTAGTTTTTCTGTTGCTGAAGAAGTTAAGGTGCTATCAAAGTGTAAAGAAAATTTAAAACTACACATTAAAGTTTTGAGCCTTCTAATTTCGGTGCCCTAGGGAAAAGGGGTATTCATCCAACTGTAGTTACATCTCTGGGGCATGCCACTGCAGAAAAGTTATCGACCTATGGCCTAGCATTTATTTCCCCACCAGGCTCACCTTTGGTGAGATAGATAGATAGACAGCTAGATAGATAGATAGACAAACAGACATATAGATAGATAGATAGATAGATAGATAGATAGATAGATAGATAGATA